CTCTCAGACTCTCACACACTCACTCTCACACTCTCAGACTCACACTCACACTCTAAGACTCACACACACACTCACTCTCACCCTCTCAGACTCACACACACATACACTCCCTCTCACTCACACACACACTCACTCTCACACTCTCAGACTCACACACATACACTCACTCTCAGACTCACACACTCTCAGACTCACACACACACTGACTATCACACTCTCAGACTCACACACACACACTCAATGTCACACTCTCATACTCAAACACACATAAACTCCCTCTCACACTCTCAGACTCACACACACACTTACTCTCACACTCTCAGATTCACACACACACTCACTCTCACACACATACACACTCACTCTCACACTCACACACACACTCACTCTCACACTCTCAGACTCGCACACACACTCACTCTCACACACACACTCTCACACTTTCAGACTCACACACACACACTCTCAGACTCACACACACATACACTCACTCTCACACTCTCAGACTTACACACACACACACTTACTCACTCTCACACTCTGAGACACACACACACTCACGCTCACACTCTGCCTCACACACACACTCACACTTTCAGACTCACACACACACTCACCTCTCACACTCTCAGACTTTCACCCTCACACTTTCCGACTCACACATACACTCACCTTTCACACTCTCAGACTCACACACACACTCACGCTCACATTCTCACTCACACACACACTCACACTTTCAGACTCACACACACACTCACCTCTCACACTCTCAGACTCGCACACATACACTCACTCTCACAATCTCAGACTCACACACACACACGATCACACTCTCAGACACACACACACTCACTCTCACACTCTTAGACTCACACACACATACACACACTCTCACACTCTCAGACTCACACACACACTTACCCTAACACTCTCAGACTCACAGACACATACACTCACTCTCACACTCTTAGACTCACACACAGATACACACACTCTCAGACTCGCACACACACTCACATCTCACACTCTCAGACTCACAAACACACACTCTCAGACTCACACACACACACTCTCAGACACACACACACACACTCTCAGACTCACACACACTCACTCTCAGACTCACACACACTCACACTCTTCGACTCACACACACATACACACACTCTCAGACTCACACACACACTCACCTCTCACACTCTCAGACTCACACACACATACACTCACTCTCACACTCTTAGACTCACACACACACTCACACTCTCAGACTCACACATACACTCACTCTGAGACTCACACACACACTCACGCTCACACTCTTAGACTCACACACACATACACACTCTCAGACTCACACACACACTTACTCTCACACTCACAAAATCACACACACACACTCTCACATACACACACACTCTCAGACTCACACACACACTCTCAGACTCACACACACTCACTCTCACACTCTTAGACTCACACACACATACACACACTGTCAGACTCACACACACACACTCACATCTCACACTCTCAGACTCACACACACACTCACATCTCACACTCTCAGACTCACACACACACTCACTGTCACACTCTCAGACTCACACACACACACACACACTCTCAGACTCACACTCTCAGACTCACACACACATGCACTCACTCTCAGACTCACGCACACACACTCACTCTCACACTTTTAGACTCTCACACACACTCACTCTCACACTCTCAGACTCACACACATACACTCACTCTCAGACTCACACACACACTCTCAGACTCACACACACACTGACTATCACACTCTCAGACTCACACACACTCAATGTCACATTCTCAGACTCACACATACACTCCCTCTCACACTCTCAGACTCTCACACACTCACACTCTCTGACTCACACACTCACTCACACACATACACACTCACTCTCACACACACACTCACACTCTCAGACTCACACACACGTTCACTCTCACACTCTCAGACTCACACTCAAAGACTCACACACGCACTCGCTCTCTCAGACTCACACACACACTCACTCTCACCCTCAGACTCACACACACATACACTCCCTCTCACACTCTCACTCTCACACACACACTCTCACACATATACTCACGCTCACACTCTCAGACTCACACACACACTCACGCACACTCACACTCTCAGACTCACACACACACTCTCACACTCTCAGAATCGCACACACACACACACTCACACACACATACTCTCACACTCTCAGACTCACACACACACTCACTCTCACACTCTCAGACTCACACAAACACACACACACTCACCCTCACACTCTCAGACTCACACACACACCCTCAGACTCACACACTCACACTCTGAGACTCACACTCACACTCAAACTCTCACTCACACACACACTCATTCTCACACTCTTAGACTCACACACACATATACTCACTCTCAGACTCACACACACATACTCTCACACTCTCAGACTCACACACACACACTCTCACACATATACTCACGCTCACACTCTCAGACTCACACACACACTCACGCACACTCACACTCTCAGACTCACACACACACTCTCACACTCTCAGAATCGCACACACACACTCACACACACATACTCTCACACTCTCAGACTCACACACACACTCACTCTCACACTCTCAGACTCACACAAACACACACACACTCACCCTCACACTCTCAGACTCACACACACACCCTCAGACTCACACACTCACACTCTGAGACTCACACTCACACTCAAACTCTCACTCACACACACACTCATTCTCACACTCTTAGACTCACACACACATATACTCACTCTCAGACTCACACACACATACTCTCACACTCTCAGACTCACACACACACACTCTCACACATATACTCACGCTCACACTCTCAGACTCACACACTCACGCACACTCACACTCTCAGACTCACACACACACTCTCACACTCTCAGAATCGCACACACACACTCACACACACATACTCTCACACTCTCAGACTCACACACACACTCACTCTCACACTCTCAGACTCACACAAACACACACACACTCACCCTCACACTCTCAGACTCACACACACACCCTCAGACTCACACACTCACACTCTGAGACTCACACTCACACTCAAACTCTCACTCACACACACACTCATTCTCACACTCTTAGACTCACACACACATATACTCACTCTCAGACTCACACACACATACTCTCACACTCTCAGACTCACACACACACACTCTCACACATATACTCACGCTCACACTCTCAGACTCACACACACACTCACGCACACTCACACTCTCAGACTCACACACACACTCTCACACTCTCAGAATCGCACACACACACTCACACACACATACTCTCACACTCTCAGACTCACACACACACTCACTCTCACACTCTCAGACTCACACAAACACACACACACTCACCCTCACACTCTCAGACTCACACACACACCCTCAGACTCACACACTCACACTCTGAGACTCACACTCACACTCAAACTCTCACTCACACACACACTCATTCTCACACTCTTAGACTCACACACACATATACTCACTCTCAGACTCACACACACATACTCTCACACTCTCAGACTCACACACACACACTCTCACACATATACTCACGCTCACACTCTCAGACTCACACACTCACGCACACTCACACTCTCACTCTCACACACACACTCTCACACTCTCAGAATCGCACACACACACTCACACACACATACTCTCACACTCTCAGACTCACACACACACTCTCACACTCTCAGACTCACACAAACACACACACACTCACCCTCACACTCTCAGACTCACACACACACCCTCAGACTCACACACTCACACTCTGAGACTCACACTCACACTCAAACTCTCACTCACACACACACTCATTCTCACACTCTTAGACTCACACACACATATACTCACTATCAGACTCACACACACACTCTCAGACTCACACACACATACACTCACTCTCACACTCTCAGACTCACACACACACACTCTCAGACTCACACACACACACTCTCAGACTCACACACACTCACTCTCACATTCTGAGACTTACACACACGCTCACACTCACAAACTCACCCTCACACTTTCCAACTCACACATACACTCACCTTTCACACTCTCAGACTCACACACACTCACGCTCACACTCTGCCTCACACACACACACTCACACTTTCAGACTCACACACACACTCACCTCTCACACTCTCAGACTCTCACACTTTCCGACTCACACATACACTCACCTTTCACACTCTGAGACTCACACACACACTCACGCTCACATTCTCACTCACACACACACTCACACTTTCAGACTCACACACACTCACCTCTCACACTCTCAGACTCACACACATACTCACTCTCTGACTCACACAGACACTCACGATCACACTCTCAGACTCACACACACTCACCTCTCACACTCTCAGACTCGCACACATACACTCACTCTCAGACTCACACACACACACGATCACACTCTCAGACACACACACACACTCACTCTCACACTCTTAGACTCACACACACATACACACACTCTCACACTCTCAGACTCACACACACACACTCACCCTCACACTCTCAGACTCACACACAGATACACACACTCTCACACTCTCAGACTCGCACACACACTCACATCTCACACTCTCAGACTCACAAGCACACACTCTCAGACTCACACACACACACTCTCAGACTCACACACACACACTCTCAGCTTCACACACACACTCTCAGACTCACACACACACTCTCAGACTCACACACACACACAAAGTGAGGAGGTGGAGGCGGCGGCGGCGGAGGCGGTGGTGGAGGCCGAGGTGGCGGTGGCAGAGGCAGCGGAGGCGGCGGTGGAGGCGGCGGTGGAGGCGGAGGCGGTGGTGGAGGCGGAGGAGGAGGTAGCTGGCCCGTAAAAAAAGAGACCAGCAAAAATAAAATTGACTGGTAAAAAAAAAAGTGGTCATAAAAAAAGTGAAAAAAATTGGCCGGTAAAAAAGATGAATGGCGATCAAAAAAGTGACCGGTTAAAAAAAGAGTGGCCATAAAAAAAGTTACCGGTTAAAAAAGAATGGCCATTAAAAAAAGAGTGACCACAAAAAATTGGCCCGTAAAAAAAGAAAGACCAGTCAAAAAAAAATTGATCAATAAAAAAATAATTGGCCATCACACAAAGTGAGGCGGTAGCGGCGGAGGTGGTAGGTGGCCCATAAAAAAAAAGAGACCAGTGAAAAAATTTAATTGACTGGTAAAAAAAAAGTCGTAAAAAAAAGTAAAAAAATTGGCCGCTAAAAAAGATAAATTGCCATCAAAAAAAGTGACGGGTTAAAAAAAAGTGGCCATTAAACAAAAAAATTGCTGGTAAAAAAAAAAGTGGTCATAAAAAAAGTGAAAAAAAATTGGCTGGTAAAAAAGATGAATGGCGATCAAAAAAAGTGACCGGTTAAAAAAAGAGTGGCCGTAAAAAAAGTGACCGTTTAAAAACGAATGGCCATTAAAAAAAGAGTGACCACAAAAAATTGGCCCGTAAAAAAAGAGACCAGTCAAAAGAAAATTGGTCAATAAAAAACAACTGGCCATCACACAAAGTGAGGAGGTGGCGGCGGCGGAGGTGGAGGCGACGGCGGCGGAGGCGGCGGTGGAGGCCGAGGCGGCGGAGGCGGCGGTGGAGGCGGAGGCGGTGGAGGCGGTGGTGGAGGCGGAGGCGGCGGAAGCGGAGGCGGCGGAGGAGGAGGTAGGTGGCCCGTAAAAAAAGAGACCAGCAAAAATAAAATTGACTGGTAAAAAAAAAAGTGGTCATAAAAAAAGTGAAAAAAATTGGCTGGTAAAAAAGATGAATGGCGATCAAAAAAAGTGACCGGTTAAAAAAAGAGTGGCCATAAAAAAAGTGACCGGTTAAAAAAGAATGGCCATTAAAAAAAGAGTGACCACAAAAAATTGGCCCGTAAAAAAAGAAAGACCAGTCAAAAAAATTGATCAATGAAAAAATAATTGGCCATCACACAAAGTGAGGAGGTGGCGGCGGAGGTGGTAGGTGGCCCATAAAAAAAAAGAGACCAGTAAAAAAATTTAATTGACTGGTAAAAAAAAAGTCGTAAAAAAAAGTCAAAAAATTGGCCGGTAAAAAAGATAAATTGCCATAAAAAAAAGTGACGGGTTAAAAAAAAGTGGCCATTAAACAAAACATTTGCTGGTAAAAAAAAAGTGGTCATAAAAAAAGTGAAAAAAAATTGGCTGGTAAAAAAGATGAATGGCGATCAAAAAAAGTGACCGGTTAAAAAAAGAGTGGCCATAAAAAAAGTGACCGGTTAAAAAAGAATGGCCATTAAAAAAAGAGTGACCACAAAAAATTGGCCCGTAAAAAAAGAAAGACCAGTCAAAAAAATTGATCAATGAAAAAATAATTGGCCATCACACAAAATGAGGCGGTGGCGGCGGAGGTGGTAGGTGGCCCATAAAAAAAAGAGACCAGTAAAAAAATTTAATTGACTGGTAAAAAAAAAGTCGTAAAAAAAAGTCAAAAAATTGGCCGGTAAAAAAGATAAATTGCCATCAAAAAAAGTGACGGGTTAAAAAAAAGTGGCCATTAAACAAAACATTTGCTGGTAAAAAAAAAAGTGGTCATAAAAAAAAGTGAAAAAAAATTGGCTGGTAAAAAAGATGAATGGCGATCAAAAAAAGTGACCGGTTAAAAAAAGAGTGGCCATAAAAAAAGTGACCGGTTAAAAAAGAATGGCCATTAAAAAAAGTGACCACAAAAAATTGGCCCGTAAAAAAAGAAAGACCAGTCAAAAAAATTGATCAATGAAAAAATAATTGGCCATCACACAAAGTGAGGCGGTGGTGGCAGAGGTGGTAGGTGGCCCATAAAAAAAAGAGACCAGTAAAAAAATTTAATTGACTGGTAAAAAAAAAGTCGTAAAAAAAAGTAAAAAAATTGGCCGGTAAAAAAGATAAATTGCCATCAAAAAAAGTGACGGGTTAAAAAAAAGTGGCCATTAAACAAAACATTTGCTGGTAAAAAAAAAAGTGGTCATAAAAAAAAGTGAAAAAAATTGGCTGGTAAAAAAGATGAATGGCGATCAAAAAAAGTGACCGGTTAAAAAAAGAGTGGCCATAAAAAAAGTGACCGGTTAAAAAAGAATGGCCATTAAAAAAAGAGTGACCACAAAAAATTGGCCCGTTAAAAAAGAAAGACCAGTCAAAAAAATTGATCAATGAAAAAATAATTGGCCATCACACAAAGTGAGGCGGTGGCGGCAGAGGTGGTAGGTGGCCCATAAAAAAAAGAGACCAGTAAAAAAATTTAATTGACTGGTAAAAAAAAAAGTCGTAAAAAAAAGTAAAAAAATTGGCCGGTAAAAAAGATAAATTGCCATAAAAAAAAGTGACGGGTTAAAAAAAAGTGGCCATTAAACAAAACATTTGCTGGTAAAAAAAAAAGTGGTCATAAAAAAAAGTGAAAAAAATTGGCTGGTAAAAAAGATGAATGGCGATCAAAAAAAGTGACCGGTTAAAAAAAGAGTGGCCATAAAAAAAGTGACCGGTTAAAAAAGAATGGCCATTAAAAAAAGAGTGACCACAAAAAATTGGCCCGTAAAAAAAGAAAGACCAGTCAAAAAAATTGATCAATGAAAAAATAATTGGCCATCACACAAAATGAGGCGGTGGCGGCGGAGGTGGTAGGTGGCCCATAAAAAAAAGAGACCAGTAAAAAAATTTAATTGACTGGTAAAAAAAAAGTCGTAAAAAAAAGTAAAAAAATTGGCCGCTAAAAAAGATAAATTGCCATCAAAAAAAGTGACGGGTTAAAAAAAAGTGGCCATTAAACAAAAAAATTGCTGGTAAAAAAAAAAGTGGTCATAAAAAAAGTGAAAAAAAATTGGCTGGTAAAAAAGATGAATGGCGATCAAAAAAAGTGACCGGTTAAAAAAAGAGTGGCCGTAAAAAAAGTGACCGTTTAAAAACGAATGGCCATTAAAAAAAGAGTGACCACAAAAAATTGGCCCGTAAAAAAAGAGACCAGTCAAAAGAAAATTGGTCAATAAAAAACAACTGGCCATCACACAAAGTGAGGAGGTGGCGGCGGCGGAGGTGGAGGCGACGGCGGCGGAGGCGGCGGTGGAGGCCGAGGCGGCGGAGGCGGCGGTGGAGGCGGAGGCGGTGGAGGCGGTGGTGGAGGCGGAGGCGGCGGAAGCGGAGGCGGTGGAGGAGGAGGTAGGTGGCCCGTAAAAAAAGAGACCAGCAAAAATAAAATTGACTGGTAAAAAAAAAAGTGGTCATAAAAAAGTGAAAAAAATTGGCTGGTAAAAAAGATGAATGGCGATCAAAAAAAGTGACCGGTTAAAAAAAGAGTGGCCATAAAAAAAAGTGACCGGTTAAAAAAGAATGGCCATTAAAAAAAGAGTGACCACAAAAAATTGGCC